GTGTTTACGTTGACATCCTTTCATCCTTTGTTTACAGTTTTGCTACGAAAAAACAAAATCAAGATCTTTGTAGTTAATTTTTTTTTTATCATTAGCACCTTACATTTTTCTTTTGTTCATATCTTAATTTGGCCAGCAATAACAATAAATCAGAATTGGCATATTAAAGATGAGAAAATATGACTTCCACTTCGATAAATAATCGAAAAAACTATAGCAGACACCGATTGGGAAGAGTCGAATGTGAGCTTTAAAGATGTTTTCAGCGAAAACTGGCTTTCGTTTGACGGATTTTACATGAACGAAAGAACAAGTTTTAGGTCGAAAACCAGTTATAGCAACGAAAACATGTTTTCGATGTCTGCCCGAACATGGTATTACAGGTTTTTACACGAACTTGCAGGAAGTTACAGGAAAAATGTTCCCGTACTCCAAAATCCTGTAAATGAGAGCGATTTTTGGAGAGTTGTGTAGAGAATTAATTTGCAAGATTTTACCCGAACTTTTTCTTCGGGTAAAATCATGAAAAGTGTCAAGCGATCGGCTGTTTGACGTTTTTGCAGGAAAAATGCTTTTTGACGATCAATTTATTGATTTTTATAGTCTTTCCTTCAGTTGAAACGCATTTTTTATATTGTACTTGTGCAGCATCTTCTGGGGCGATTTCTTTATTAAAAACATCAACAAGAATACATACAAACAGATCGTTAGTTGCAAACATAATAACCAAAATGAATAAATTACATTTATATGTACGGCCACAGGGTAATGTTGATTTGGGTTTATATGAAAAACTCAAAACTTGTTTAAACATAATTACTGGACTACGAAATTTTTATTTTTTTTGTACTCTCACTTCACAGACCTGATGAAGCGAGTCTTTTGAATACGAATAGTGTTTCTCTCGGTGAGCTGGACTCATCGTCAAAAATTGATGAAGCAGTGAACTTTGTGACAAATGCCTGTAATGCTGCTTTCAAAGCCTCCTGCCCAAGCACCCTCCCGAAGGGCAAAAAGAAACCCCAGTGGTGGAATCCGGAGATTTCAGCACTGAGGAAGAACAGCAGGAGGCTTTTCAATCATGCTAAGCAAACAGGTCTTTGGCAACCATACAAAGACGCACTCAAAGTTTTCAAGAAGGCCATAAAGAGGCCGAAACGCGAATCTCGACAAAACTTCTGCAACAACATAGAAGAGAACTCTGAAGCCAACAGGCTGAGGAAAGTTCACTCGAAATTCTCTTCGAGTATGAACTCTATCCAGAAGCCTTACGATGACTGGACGACATCATGTAACGAAATTCTGGAGGTCCTTATGAGCACTCACTTCCCAGGCTGATCGGAGGACACCTCCGGCTTTTCTCCCGGTCCTAGGACCTACTTGTCTCTGGGTGATTTACGGACGTCGTAAGTGAGGAGAGGGTGAAATGGGCTTTAATGTCCCTCCAGCTCTACAAATCTCCGGGCCTTGAAGGAATCTTTGCCGCTCAACTACAGGAAGCTAAGGACTTACTGTGCCCGCTGCTTTCTCAGATTTTTACATCCTGCCTAACCCTGACTCACTTACCACATGAGTGGACAAAGGCAAAAGCTGTATTCTTACCAAAAGGAGGCAAGGTCGCTCATGTGAAACCGAAGGATTTCAGGCCTATAAGCCTCACTTCATTCTTCCTTAAAACTCTAGAGAGGCTCATCGACGAATATATTCGACGGAATATAAAAAATTACAACGCCTCCCCGAACCATCATGCATATTCCAAAGGAAAATCCATGGATACCGCACTCCATGAAATCATATCGTCGATTGAAAAAGGGCTCGGAGTTTTTCTCGGTGTCTGGTAGATTCTGTTGGGCTCCTTCTGGAAAAGAGAACTATTCTATCAGAACTGGGGGACGGTTCCATCACAAAGTATGTGACCAGAGGCACCTCCCAAGGGGGAGTTCTCTACCCTCTACTCGGGAATCTAACAGTGAACACCCTACTTCTAAGCCTAAAGGGCACCGGTTGTCAAGTCATAGCGTACGCTGATGACATAGCAATATTGACAACGGGCAAACATCTTCAGGTCCTGAGTGAGTTATTGCAAAACGCACTCGGTCTCGTAAGCATCTGGTCCAAGGAATGTGAACTTAGCGTCAATCCTACCAAAACAAAAATGGTACTTTTCACAAGGAAGTATAAAACTCCCTTATTTAAACCTCCCACCCTAAACGGAGTGGCACTTACTCTCTCAGCCGAGGGAAAATACCTTGGAATTATTCTAGACAAAACCCTGCCCACTACACCCACCAAATCTCTGGAAATAATGTTAAATCTTCCACCTGTGGATCTCTACGGAAAATTTCGGGCCGGCTGCAGTGCGGCCAGGTTAAATACAATCCAGCCGTGGAGAGACCTCAGATTCGGAAGCAAAAGTACTTAAAAATCTACCGGATAATCTACGACAGATAGATTATACCACTCCTCTACTCTGTTTAGACAACAAATTCTCCACAATAATCCCAGAGAGGAACCAATGGGAAGGGGCCACATCACTGAACTCAGGGTCTAGGGCCATATATACAGATAGTTCCAAGGTTAGCAAAAGAGTGGTTAGCGGGATCTACTCTGCCGAGCTCGCGCTAAACCTCAGTTTTCGCTTACCGGACCATTGTAGTGGTTTTCAAGCAGAATTAAACGCCATAATGGAGGCGGAACGGTGGGTCATAACCTCCACCCCTCCAGGACGGCCTATTGCTATCTATTCTGACAGCCAGGCTGCTATCAAATCTCTCAATTCTAACGGAAAAACATCCATAGCCATAGCCATAGAATGCAGGAAGGTTTTCAACCTGCTGGCATCAAAATGCTCCTTTACTGTTGTGTGTGTCCCTGGACATAGAGACGTTCCTGGCAACTGCCTAGCCGATGAGCTTGCAAGGAGGGGGACGGAAATATCTGAAGTGAATTTTGCTCAGAATGCGGGCATACCTCTAACCTCCTGCAAACACAGACTAAAGGCGGAACTCGTCGAGGAGGTAAATTTCAGGTGGACTGTGGAAACCACCTGCCATACTACCAGGCAAATTTGGCCAAAGATTGATGTAAAGCGATCCATAGCTCTTACCCGGCTGGACCGCTCCTATCTCAGATTAGTAGTCGGGGTAATCACCGTGATGGGCACACCCGGAAAAAGGCTAGGATACCCCACCAACGATCGTTTTCGCAGTTGCAGAGACGAGGAAGAGGAGGAGACCGTTGAATACTATCTCTGCCATTGTCCCGCCTTGGCCAACACGCGCAACCGATTCTTCAACAAGTACTTTTTAGATTGTTAAGCCGATTTGAACTCGGCGAACGTCCTCGACTTTTTGTGCTATATAAAACGCACTTGGTGGTTCAATTACTAAGGAAGGGAAACAAACAAATGGCTTCGGCCAATTGTATCACAACGGCCTTTTCCAGCCCACGTGTGCTACGCGCTCTGCGCGGGTCTGCCACTCCAACCTAACCTAACCAAACTACTTTACAAAGAAATTTAGCTGTTTGACATTTTTACAGGATTTTACACGAAAAGTATTGGATCAGAGCTTTTGTGTTGTTATAAACGATTATTATTAATCAGCTTTTAAATACTGATGCGATTATTTGGAATTTGAGCGGAACAGCTGATCTCCAATTCGCTTTGAGTGAGAGCGGTGTTTATACACTCTTTCTAACTGTCTGGAGAAATAAACTACCGATTTGAAATGGAGTGTGAGCCAAAACACTTCGCTCTTTCAAAGCGAATTGAAATTCAGTTTATACATATGTTTTGAATCGCGGCGAAATGAATTAAAGCGACTTATGCATGCGTATAAACGTAGTAATTGTGTAGCTTTCTGGATCACATTAAAAAGAAAGAAACCAACTTCCAGAATTCTATTTGTTTGGAGAAACGGGTGGTTATTGCACTTTATCCACTTGGGTCATCAGCGGAGTATCCCAGAATTCCGAACTTATTTGGAGTGAGAAAATCTACTGTAAGTACAATTCTTTTGGAATTTTGTAAAGTATGGAAAGTATTGCACCCAGTATATTTCAACTACTTTCCGCTAAGTAGAGAGACCATTGAAGAGTGTGTTGACGGTTTTAAAAACATTCGATTCCCTCAATGTTTGGGAGCACTTGGTAAGCTCTTCCTAAAATTGTTGTTTTATGCACAGCTACAAATAGTATTTTTAAGATGGATGCCACATAGAAATTCAAATTCAAATTAAAAGCAAGGTAATTAAGCAGCATAAAACTGGATGTTAAATAAAACACTAAAACTAACAGAGCTGCCAAATGTGGGGATTTTGCCCCATTTTGGGGATTTATGAAACCATTTGGGGATCGATTTTTTCGTTTGTGGATTTGGGGATTTTATGGGGATTTTAGTTTGGTTTAAAACTTTCATATTGAAATTAAAACATATATTTTTCTGGCTGCCCATAAAAATTTCTTGAATAAAGATTTTATTAGTACATACTTTTTGCGCCATATGTTTGTAAGGTTTTCCTAACGCCGTCAAAGCATTATTCCGCGCAGATGTCTGCTTTGATTGGCATTCACTGAACAAACAATTTTCGCAACAACGTCCACGAAAGAAATTAAAAAATAAATGGTATTCTTTAGTTATTTGAGATTGTACTTTATTACACTAAAAAAGTTTGATTACTTTTTGATTTTAAACTTTTATTTATGCTTTTTCTGTTGTAGATTGAATTATATTTTAAAAGAAAATTAGTAAAACTAAATAAATAAACATATGTTGTAAAAACATATAACTTTGAATTTTGGTGCTAAATAAATCTCTGACTATAGTTGTACGTATAACCAAATGACCTCATGCATATATGTACATATGTACGTATGTACATATACATATATAAATTTGTGAAAATGTGTAGAGAAAAGTATTCAAAACTGTAATAAAAAGAAAACTGTGTTAAAATGAAAACTGTATTAATGTGAAAACTGGATTAAAATGAACTAACACAAATGTGAATACATGCTTTTTTTATTTCTTACTAAAGGGGATTTAAATGGGGATTTAAAAGAAAAATGTGGATTTTTTGGGGATAACTGCGGCCCGATATGGGGATGGGGTACAAAAATATTCTGGCAACACTGAAAACTAATAACATCCATACCTGTGTATGTACAATTATAGGTTTCGCCGGATTGGTAAAGGCATAACAGAATTGACTATGCGAATTCTATTATAAAAAGGGCTTGTTCGAGATGCAATCACAACCGCAGTGTTGCGCGAATTATTAAAGTATCACGTTCGGTGTGAATTTCTAGCAACGTTTTATCAGTTGGGAAGTTGCAACAGTATTGCAAATTTTCATTAGTGCTGCAGTATTGCCTCTTTTATTACGTGCCTCGAACAGGACCATACTTGCTGTGTCTTGCACAGCTTTTTGATAGCGGAAAATGACCCAGTTTCACTTTCTTGGCTAACTGAGCAGAAGGCTAACGACAGCAGTAGAAGGCAACCACAATACGCAGATTTGCACCAAAGCGCAACTGAAGCTGAATCAATAAGGAATGCTTTCACTTCATACTTCAGTAAGTTATTATTACATTTATTTCAGTTTCATTTTTTTTTCTTCTTAATATAGAACCAAAGAGCCTTCAACCGGTTTATAAAAGAAAGGAAATATATATTACATTGAAAACAAAAAAGTTCATATCACAAAATTTTACATACTACTTCCTTAACATCTATTTAAAAATCTAAAACAAAAAAGAAAATAAAACTCACAACATATTTGATTCCATTTTCTTAAATAGTTCTAAAAGCTAAAAAAAAACAGTTCACTCATTAGACCTTACATACTATCTTTATAATCTAATAAATGTGTAAAAAAAGTATTAAATTCAGGATACCTTACACACTATTCCTTAAAATCTATTTAAAAAATCTAAAACACCATCCGTTTGTCTTTTTGTGTCCTTCTGCAGCTTGCATTGCCATCAGTTTTTCCTTTTCTAGTTCCACCAATTCTTCGTTCGATTTGGAAAATTTATCCATAGCCGTAAAGGCAAGTCTGGTTTGCGTATTTTTGGCAACCCGTAAAGTCTCGGTGCAGTCGCAGCGGCGCATGCCAACTGTTGTTTCTCTCTGAAATTAATTGTTGCACTTTTGTAACCAGGGCATTGTTTTTTCTCTGTAGTGTTGTTGTTGGGTCGTTTCTTATTGTTTTCTATGTGTTTTTATCTTCAAGTCGTTTTTTATCTTCTCCTCATAGTCTGCTTTGTAAAGTGCCACCGTTTTATTTCCCCTGTCTGCCCCCGTTACTCTTATTTAATTTTTGTGTCGTTTTAAGAGTATTTTTGTTTTATTTAATGTTTCTAAAATAAATCTCTCAGCTGCATTGTGTTTTATGCTGCGTTTGAATTGGATGATCCAATTACTCAGCTTGCATCTTTGCTATTTCTTTGGTCCTATTGTCTTCTATTGGTTGTATTATTTGTTCCATTTCTGCTATCATTTGTACCGGTTTGAAATAGTTTTTGTTGTCAGTAATGCGAATTTTCTTCCCAGGGATAATAACCATTTCGACTCTTCATCAAATTCTATTGCTGTTTTATTTACAAACCAATCGTTGTTTAGATTTATTCCTAGATTTTTAGGTTGTTGAGGTTTTAGCTTTTCTAATTTCGACAAATGTATTTGTCGTAGAATCGTCTTGCAAAAAGAAACGTGGACTGTAAATTATAAATAACTAGCCAATATGAATGCATATGAAAAATTAACCTAGTTTGTATTGAATCTACATAACAGTTCTATACACGTTTTTGGCACCAAGCTCTAAAAACAACAATGACAAGTCAAAACGCCAAAATTCTCTCTCCGTCCTCGCGTTCCTTTAAGTTAGTTGTAGTTCGTTTACTTCCTAGAATTTTCCAAATATCTCTGAAATTTTGGAAGAACATTAAATATTCCAATTTATCAAATATTCTAAACATTCCGGCCCCTCTGAAAAGCACCTGCTTTCAATGATCCAGAAACAATGGACACAGCTTCACTACTGGTCTTTTGAATGTTCCTTTTGCTGTCTTTACGGTAACTACTCGAACGAGACCATCAGGTCCAGGATGTGTCTCAACGATTCTTCCTATTGCCCAACTTGATGGAGGAAGGTTGTCATCCTTTATGACCACAACGTCATCAATGGTTATATTTTTAAGTTTTTGTGCCCACTTTGGTCGTTGCTGCAACTGGCGTATGCATTCTACAGACCACTTCTTCTTGAACCAGTCGCTGAAGGTCTTGCCATCTGTTGAGCGCATTCTCCTTTAAATTGACCAAGTTTTCGTCGGGCATTGTATGTGGTGAACGGAATATCAAAAAATTGGCCGGAGTTAATGGATCGACATCTCCCTCGAATTTGATGCACATTGACCGAGAGTTCAGACAAAATTCAATTTGGCAAAGTACTGTAGACATTTCCTCATATGTTATTGCTGCTTCTGTTAAAACTTGTTTGAGGTGGTACTTAACTGACTTTACCCCAGCCTCCCATATCCCACCAAAATGTGGGCCAGAGGGTGGTGAAAAGTGCCATTGTATCTGCTGACCCGTTAGTTCCTTTGAAATGCCCTCTTTTGTTGTGGATGCAAACAAGAATTCGCGCAACTGCTGATTGGCCCCCACGAAATTTGTGGCGTTGTCCGAAAACAAGTGCAGGGGCTTTCTGCGCCTGGCGACAAACCGACGAAGCGATGCGATAAAGGCCCCAGTTGACAGTTCCGTAACAAGCTCGATATGTACAGGCACACAAAGAGCGCGATCCAATATTTGTATAGCTTAGACCCTCGTCCCTTCCAGGAACGCACCTGTAACGGCCCGGCAAAATCTACACCCGTATTGAGAAAGGCTGCACCTGGGTTTAGTCGATGTGGAGGAAGATTACCCATCTGTTGCTGGTAAGCTATTCCACGTACTTTCGTACACGTTGCACATTTAAAAACACATCGTTTAATTGTGTATGTACCCCTTGGGATCTTAGTCTAAGCAAGTAACGAAGTTGACGACTTCCAGCGTGTAGGTGCTTCAGATGGGAATACATCACGATAAGTCGGTTCAAATGGCTGTCTTTGTGGATAATTAAAGGATGCTTCTGGTCGCAGTTGATGTTAGCGTTTACAATCCTGCCTCCAACCCGAAGTAGGCCACCGTTATCGATGAAAGGTGCAAGAGTCGTCAGTTTGTTTGACATAGGTAGAGACTTACCTTTCAATAGTAATCGTATCTCTTGTGTAAAGTATGTTCTTTGCTCTTTCCTCACCAATACGTTATGGGCGTGCTGCAGCTCGTTGGTTGAAATCCCGGTAGCTGTTTTCGGTTGCTTGGAGCTACCACTTTTGCAGTTGTGTACAAAGCGTAACAGAAGTGCAGTGATGCGTAAAAGATGCGTGTATTTTAAATACCTCTCAATTAGGTCAAAACTTTGTATGATAGCTGTATGTGACTGAACCGCCTTTCGTTCTTCCATGCCGACATTCGGTGACGTAGATGGCTTCTCGATATGTGACATTGATTTATGTATCAGTACGTCAGGTCCTTGCTACCATAATTTACAAGTTACTAGCTCTGCAGGCCAAATTCCCCTTGTAGCAAGGTCTGTCGGATTGTATTGTGACGGTATATGATGCCATTGCTCAGCTGGTATGACGTCTATTATTTGGAAAGTTCTATTTGCAATGAAGGTTTTCCAGCGGCGAGGATGATCTGCCAACCACGCCAAAACAATTGACGAATCTGTCCAACCAACCACGTCAACTACTTCGAAACTTAAAGATTGTCGTACTTTCACTATTAACTTCACCAACAAGTGTGCAGGGCACAACTCAAGCCGCGTTAACGTGATTTGCTTTACCAGAGCTACCCTGGTTTTAGCTGCAATTAAGTAGGTGAACACCTCGCCATCCCTCCGCTGTATACGCACATAAACCGCTGCTGCAAATGCTACTTCGGACGCGTCCGAGAACCCATGCAACTCAACAATGCTGTCATCAGTGAAATCAAGCCACCTTGGTATACGAAGTTTTGAAATTCTGTTGGTGTTCTGCCTATAATCATACCATTCGCTGTATAGCTCACATGGTAGCTCTTCATCCCAACTTACGCCCTTTAGCCATAATTTTTGCATACAAATCTTCATTTTAATAACGACCGGAGCAATCCATCCGATTGGGTCGAATATTCTGGCGATATCCGATAGTACTTTACGTTTTGTCACGGTTAATGTGATGTCTTCAAAGGCCACGTTGTACTTGAAGCTATCTGTTTAAGTCTCCCAAAGCAAACCAAGTGTTTTTACGGCGCTTGTGATGTCGATAATTGCATCAGGAGATTTTTGACAATCATCTATGTCAATTGTACCCAAGAACCTTCTCGAATTTGACTACCACTTACGTAGCTTGAATCCTGCCTCAGATAATATTGAACACACATCGTTCTTTAGCTTCACTGCTCCTACTGACGTGGGAGCACATGCCAAGAAATCATGTACATAAAAATTGTTCGATATTGCAGATGCTGTGTCAGGATTTTCATCAGAGTAGTCATATGCCACTTGCTGCAGTGTCCTAATCGCTAAGAAAGGTGCAGTTGCCGTGCCAAACGTTACGGTGCGAAGATCGTAAGCAATATGTTCTTCCATGGAACGTATCCACAATATTCGCTGCAAAGGCCGGTCATCTGGATGTACCAATACCTGTCGTTACATTTTCTCAATATCGCCGGCATTTCCGGATTTTGCCTATGATATCGAAAAGATCACTTTGTATTGTTGGACCGATTAACAAGTTGTCGTTGAGTGACAATCCATTTGAACTATTGCAGGATGCGTCGAACACTACTCGTAGTTTTGTTGTGGCACATGTTCTTTTGAATACTGCGTCATGTGGTATGAAGTACGTTCCGTGTACGTTTACCGTGCTGCTAATATCCATATGCCCCAACTATAAATAGTCGTCCATAAATTTCCCATATTCTTTCTTGAGTTGCACATCACCATCGATTTGACGCTCCACTGAAATGAGTCGTTTAAGCGCAGCAGACTGTGATTCCCCTAGTTTAACCTCATCCTCTTTCAACGGAAGCCTAACAACGTACCTGCCTTGCTCATCGCGATGAGTATGTTGTTGAAAATGTATTTCCGCTTTTTTCTCTTCATCTGTCAGGTAATTCATCGGTTCTCGTAGAGCTTTAACTTCCCAGAAGCGTTGAATTTGCTGACTTAAATCCACACATGTATGTGCAGTTACAATGTGTTGCTCGTCTGCTCCCTTTATTTTACCCATTATAACCCAACCGAAAATTGTGTTGACTGCAGTCGGTGAACCGCTAGGATGAGTCAACTTCTCTGGCAGTAAACAGCTAGTGAAGACATCTGCGCCAAGTATGATGTCGATTTTATTAGGTTTCGAATATGATGGATCTGTAAGATTAACTTCATTGAAAAATGCCAAACTCTGATGGGTTATATCGCATGGAGGCAATGTGTGAGTTAAATTAAGCAAGCATAATGCCTCAGTTCTAATTATGGTGTCATATTGTGTCGCCTCGATATGCAATTCAACCCTTCCTCTAGTGTGACTTCCATTGACTGAACCGATCCCATATAGCATAGTTCTATCAAAGCCTCGTTTCAGTTGCAGTCGTTGTATGCATGATTCGGTTATAAGCGTGCCTTGTGACCCTGAGTCCAGCAAAGCGCGACATGGGTTCAACTCGTTGCATCTATTGCGCACGACAATCGCTGTTGGCAGCAATGTGATAGACCGCTGACTCTGCTGTGTGATATTTGCACTGACAATAGATGGCTCTACGTTCGTATTGACTGCTGACTGCTGAACATCACTTGCTGCTGATGTTGTATGTAACAGGGAGTTGTGTTTTGCTCCACATTTTCTACACGATGATCTCTTACAGTTTGATGCGCGGTGGTCTGGCTGCAGACAGTTAAAGCAGATGTTGCTCCTCTGAACCAGATTGCGTCTCGCATTCGCTTCCATATCTAGGAACAACTTACATTGATAAAGCTGATGCTGCTTTGAACAAAGAACACATGTATGTAGCATTGTTGAAAGCGTGCGCGCTTGGTTGCGCTTGTCGCCGATGCCACTTCGAGATGTATTGACCGCTGTAGTCTTTTGGGTGTTTTCCAACTCGTAAAGTCTTTTCTCCAGGAAGTTCAAGAAATCTTGAATCGATTGCTCTTCCTCAGATTTCTTTTCCCTATACCACAAAACACGCGTCTCGGCGTCAAGCTTTTTCTCTAACATGAACAATAAAATTGAATCCCAATGTTCAACAGGTTCATTAAGCACTTTTAACGCATTTATACTTTCGTTGGTTGTATTATATAGTCGCTTAGCTTCTGCCGTTGACGCAGACTTCATTGCATGTTGATCGCATAAAAGTTCAAAATAAGCTCTCTTTACTTTGTCGGACTTATCATATTTTTTCTTAATTAGCTGTCAGGCAAAATTGTAATTTGCATTGGCTGGTTTTAAATGTTTGATGTGCGAAAGTGCTTCCCCTCGAACTTTCGTTTGCAAATATTCTAGCTTCTCAATATTGGAAATGTTTTGTCTGTTGTGTACAAGTGTCTCGGATAAGTCGCGAAAACGGATCCAGTCCGTACATTTGCCATCAAATTCTGGTATCTGAATGCGTGGCAAACGCATTTCATGTTGGATGTGTTGTTGTTGTGTGTAGTTGCTGGCGTTTATTGGGCTTGAACCATTTTCTATCCCACTGTCACAAACATTCGTTCGATTAATGCACCCATTGTTGTCTGATGCTCTAGTAGGTTCTGAACTGCGATCGATATATCGCTTGATGGTCAATAGCAGTATCATTTCCCGCAGAAAGTTGCATTAAACGCGTGTAAATTGTTTTAATAGCGAAATATTTCTCTTCCACCTCAGTGCGGTACACTTCTTCTTTTGCCTGCTGTTCTCTAGTGGTAGCCAACACGTCGATTTCTAGATGAATTCTTTCATACTATCTAAACAAGTCATCCGCTCTTTCTGCACGAACTCTTATACCCTCCGCCGTTGTCTTTTGATCGGCACATACGTTGTATATGCGTGTTAGGCTACCTTTAATCGTTTGCCTTGCGCTTTCAATTTATCCATGGTTACTTTGTTGCATTAATTTCACGTTTTGACACTTTGTCACAACTGCTGCTTTGAACAGCTGCTGGCTGCCGTGTAGCGTTGATTTCGATCTTACTAAATGTATTGAGTCCTGTTGACACGCTGTTGTAGTTTGGTACACTGCATGGGCTAGGCTTGGTAATTGTCGTATAATCACTGTGCGGTTTACGTTACGACCAAAAGACGGAGGCTCACACAGGTATGCTCTTGGCACTTTTTGAAAGGCTGATTGTACTTTAAAACAACGGGGGCTAAGTATTTTAAGGCTCACACAGGTGTGCTCGTGCGTTTTGACCAGATATGCTGGATACTGTACACACACGTTGGAGGCTGACACTGATGTATTCTTGCTAATTAGTTTGGAAAATTTTGGACACACTTTCAGCGACCAGTTGTTGAAGGCTCATACGAGTTTGCTCGGGCTAGTAAAACTAGCACGTTTATTCTTCCACGGGTAGAGACTCACACAGGTGTGCTCTTGGCGCTTGGAAAAATATTCTGAATACTGGACACACTTTTAGGCGAACAGTCGTTGGAGGCTCACACTGATGTGCTCTTGCCACTTGACAAAATATTCAGGTTACTGGGCACACTTCTGGGCGAACAGTCGTTGGAGGCTCACACTGATGTGCTCTTGCCAATTGGTTTTGGAAAGTCTGGACACAATTCCAGGCGACGAGACGTTGAAGGCTCAAACAGGTTTTTACCGATGTATGTACGCAACTGTCAAGATTTTACGTGCGATAGTAATTGCGACACGTGTTTAGTGATGTGCGCATTCAATAAAATCACAAAATTTCATAGAATCGGCTTGCAAAACGAAACGTGGACTGTAAATTATAAATAACTAGCCAATATAAATGCATATGAAAATTTAACCAAGTTTTTATTGAATCTCCACAACAGTTTTATACACGTTTTTGGCACCATCCTCCCTTGTATCAAAAAACCAAGCTCTCAAAAAAAAAACAATGACAAGTCAGAACGCCAAAATTCTCTCTCCGTCCTCGCGTTCCTTTAAGTTAGTTGTAGTTCGTTTACGTCCTAGAATTTTTCTAAAGAGGAATGCCATATCTCTGAAATTTGAAAGAACATTAAATATTCCAATTTATCAAATATTCTAAACAGTATATTTCCCCGTTCTGCTGTTATTCTTTTACTTAGGCTATTTTGTTTACAAACAAAGGAGTTTAGTTCCAATTCACTTACGCTGCGTTGTAGTTGTTGCCTCGCGTGATATATACAGTTTTTGGTGTTTTTTATGTTTATATTTGTTTGTGTAATTTATAAGTTTAATATTTTCTTCAGAAACAGTCGTTTTGTGTTTTCTACTTTTGCTTTCATTTTCAGGACGTGGTAGTTTATGTTTTTTGCTGCGTTTGTTAGGTGGTTGGGTAAAAGCTCACATCGTCTGCATTCCAATAAGAGTTGAAGCTGTGTCATCTGTTTTTCCAGCTTTTTNTTTAATATTTTCTTCAGAAACAGTCGTTTTGTGTTTTCTACTTTTGCTTTCATTTTCAGGACGTGGTAGTTTATGTTTTTTGCTGCGTTTGTCAGGTGGTTGGGTAAAAGCTCATATCGTCTGCATTCCAATAAGAGTTGAAGCTGTGTCATCTGTTTTTCCAGCTTTTGTTTTTGCTTTTTAAAGTGTTTTAGGGTTATGCAGGTGTGTTCCCCGTCTTTGTATTTGATGTGCTTGCAAAAATCCTTCATGTTTCTTGTATGTTTGTTTGTTGTTGATGTAGATAAAGAGATTACTTCGGCAGGCCTTCCGATGTTGAATAATATGACGATGAGTTGACGATCAATTTATGGAATTTTATAGTGTTTTGTATTTTAGGCTATTTGATCCTGTGCAACAAAAAGGGTTTTCTCTTCACTTTCCAGCCCGACGTTGCGCTGTCCTTCTCAGCATCTTCAGGGGCGATTTCTTTATTAAAAACATCAACAAGAATACATACAAACAGATCGTTAGTTGCAAACATAATAAGCAAAATGAATAAATTACATTTATAGGTACGGACACAGGGTAATGTTGATTTGGGTTTATATGAAAAACACAAAACTTTTTTAAACATAATTACTGGACTACGAAATTTTATTTTTTTTTTGTACTCTCACTTCACAGAGAAATTTTGCTGTTTGACATTTTTACAGGATTTTACACGAAAAGTATTGGATCAGAGCTTTTGTGTTATTATAATAAGCTTTGCCACGATTTTATATCAGAAATTCCCGTTTGATTAGGATTCCTAAAATGTGCTATACGGCAACTATATTTTCTGCGTGTTCTGTATTCTCCTTCTTCGTAAAATGTTTCAGCCAATCAGAACTCACTTCGCAACTATGTCATTGGAGGAAACCAAATTTTTAACAGCACCTTGCAGTAACCTTCTATTTTATGAACCTTTGGGGTGTTCACAGTTCGTTCCAAATAGTGTCTCAAAATGTAGACGTCTACATTTTAAGACGTTTTCTAACCGTAAAATCTGTGGTGTTGTTGTTTCCCATACAAAATTGGAAAACGACGCCGTCTACATTTTGTCACACTCAAAGGTATGTTTTTTACGCGTCNTTTTATTTATTGGGCACGTTTTTTGTATTTGCATTTAATTTGAGCGGAATTTCTGATGAAAAGAAACAAATCAAGGAAAAGAAATAACAAATATTACGAATGGGTAATTAAGTTAAAAGTTACATTTTTTCAGATACAAAATCGAAAGGCGACATATAAAAAATGCACGCAAGGAAGAAATGTCTGGCAACACCAGCAAAGTTTTGAGACGATTTTGCGACGACTGCTAGAAAGGGGTGCTCACAGTTTGATGCTAAAGATGTCTCAAAATGTAGACGTCTACATTTTCAGACACAATTTGGAACGAACTGTGAACACCCCACTTGTAATACTTCCATATTGGCAGTATCTACAAGCAGTGTTGCCGTTTTGATCCAAATGGAACAAAATGATACGTTTTTCATCGAATTTTTAAAGATACCTTTATTTTTAGCTTAGTATAAATTGTGATACATTTTAATTCACAAGTTGAAGGTAACTCTTCCCATCTTAAGACTTTTATGATTTTGTGGCCACACTTTGTTTCCTTTCATTGAATCTGCACATGACATCACTGTTAGCTACAGACAATAAGCCTGTTCACGCACTCCAGGATTTAGTCCGAAGTCGTTTTCTTTCACACATATATCATATATTTTGCGAACAATTTCTCACTAAATCATGGAGTGCGGGAACAGGCTAATATTGCCGTTCCTTTTTGATTTTGAAGCTGTATGATGTGGTACTGGGCTAAAGGCAGTGTCACACGACTGTTATATTTGTACAGATTTGTACATTTTGGCAGTCCCACAGTGGTATTCTTTAGAAATTTGAGTTCAGCTTAATAAAAGAATTTCCAAACAACACTACTCTGTAACTGCCAAAATGTACATATCCGTACAAATGTACCAATCATGTAATGCAGCGTTCATGCTGACATTAAAAAGCAAATTTAACAACTTGGAACACTGGTTTTTTGAAGAGTGGTCATGGTGCCACATTTCGTAAATGTACATTTACGTGAGTTCGAAACTCTGATTACATACATAATACAACGATACCATTTGCAGAGAAATTAAATTAAAATGCGTCGATTGAAATTTATATTATTTGTGGTTAAATTATATGTGTCTATGACCCTCAATTATGCCAACATTGAAGAGACAAATGCATCCATCAGTGAAATAAGAAAAAGGCGCGCTAGTATTATGGAAATTCTGTTTTTGTCCAAGTTGTCATTTGGGAGTACATCCACTTGGAACTTCATGCTAACGAAAGAACCTGTGCCTTTTTTATACCCGAGCGCACTTGTGCACAAGGGTATTATAACTTTGTTCACATAACGGTTGTTTGTAACAGGCAAAACGAATCGAGATAGATGTAGACAAATGTATACATAAATGATCAGAATGTAAAGAGAAATCGATTAAGCGGTGACTGTCTGTTTGTCCGTCCGCCCGTCCGTCTTGGCACACGATAACTCGAGNAGATATAGACAAATGTATACATAAATGATCAGAATGTAAAGAGAAATCGATTAAGCGGTGACTGTCTGTTTGTCCGTCCGCCCGTCCGTCTTGGCACACGATAACTCGAGTAAAAATTGAGATATCTTAACGAAGCTTGGTACGTGAACTTCTTTTGGGCGTAGGACGGATGGTATTGAAAATGGGCGAAATCGGCGAATCCCATATAATGGTAATTTTCAGAAAAACGAAAACTGCGATATTTTAGTAACTACTGAAGATAATTCACTCAAAATTGATATTAGCAATGAGTTTTAGACGAAAAATAAGAATATTACAAAATTTTGGCAAATGGGCGTAGCCACGCCCACTTATGGTTACATGTGTATATCTTGGTAACCGCTATACCAATTTCTTCAAAACTTGGCAAAGTTGTTGGTCCTGGTACAGCATACCAAATGGCCGAAAATTTCTAAAATCGGACAATAACCACGCCCACATCCCATATAACGGTAATTTCGAGAAATACAAAATCTTCGATAAGTCAGTAAATATTGAAGCTAATTTATTCAAAATTAATGGTTGCAACAATTCTTTAACAAAAAATACGTTTATAACAAAATTTTGGAAAATGGGCGTAGCACCGCCCACTTGTGATCACATATATGTATCTCGCTAACCGTTCTAGCAATTTGTACCAAACTCGGTATGGTTATTGTGCTTGCCACATAAAAGCAAACCGTTGAAAATTTTTGAAATCGGCCTAAAATTGAGGCCGCTTTTCATATAACGGTAAATTTCAGAAATGCTTGAGATTTCAATATTTCGAAATTTAACATAAACTTAAGGAGAGTACAAGCAAGCGGCAATTTTTTAATCCTCATCCAACTACTAAAGAAGTAACTAGTTTCGATTTGCAACTCGTGACCTCCAAAGTGGAGACCCCGTTTTAAAGAAGATCCGTTGCATCGACAGTTACCGAAAAACCGTAAACCACACGTCAGCTTATATCGCTTATAGTTTTTAAGACAGCGAATATGGCATCTAAGGATTATTCGAATGCAGCAGCACCTTTGGAAACAAAGGACGAAGCCACAGGAAATAGTCCAATACCCCCCATAGGCGCAGCTCAATTAACACCCTCAGATGTCAACGCTGTAGCCGTAAAAATCGACATGCCAACGATCGACCGCAGGAAGATCGAAGGATGGTTCCTAAGTCTTGATTATTGGTTCCTTGCAATGGGTATCAAAAGCGAAACCCAGAAATTCCACACGGTGGTGACAGCTCTCGGTCCACGTACACTGCAAGATTTCCTAGCCACGTTAGGAGAAGTGCCTGACCAGGGTCGATATGAATTCGTCAAACAGCGACTAATAACCTTCTGCACCAACAGCCAGCAGGGACGCTTAAATCAAGTGCTGAACGAAACCCAGTTGGGTGATCAAAGGCCTAGTCAGTTGTTTACGGAAATGATGCGGCTAGTCGGCGATACAATGAGAGAATCAGCGGTAAAGAATCTGTGGGCAAAACGTCTACCAGTTTATGCTCAAGCTGCTGCAGCTGCGTACTCAGGCCCACCGGAAGAATACCTAACAATTGCGGACGCCATCGTCGACACTATCAGCCTGCAGGTGAACAGCAGCACAGCTGAATAAGGCTGCTGCCTTACTCCGGCATCAGCCACGTATGCAGAAAAATCGCAAGCCAACACCTAGTACAACGAGCTACAAAGCGCCATCAATGCGCTAGCACAACGTTTCGACCGCCTCTATACTGATCGCAACACCGATAGGAAGGGTAATAGATCCAGATTCCGACAGCAGTCTCGCGAGCGCCGTAGAAGCAGCACACCTGCTAACTTAGATGAGTGCTGGTACCACCGAAAATTTGGATACAATAGCAAGAATTGTAGACCATCATGCAAACACTATAAGACTAGCAGAGGTGATCACAGCTCGAAATGATTCGAAGCGGTCGTTGGCGAAAAGTTCTCGGCGGACGCCATCGTAAACCGCCTTTCTATCAACGACCGAAAATCCGCCATTTCGTTTTTAATTGGCTCTGGCGCCGACATCTCCGTTCTGCCACGTCAATTTTCGCATACGGTGACGCCATCCTCCGTGAAACTCTACGCCACCAATGGTACGACCATCGCTACATTCGGTCAACGACGACTCAGCCTCGACCTCGGCCTACGAAGATGTTTCGACTGGATATTCACAGTTGCAGATGTCATAGGAGCAGACCTCATACGCCATTATGGATTACTTATTGATCTTAAGAATAATAAAGTGATCGACAGCATGACGAAGATATGTGCACTGTGCAGCAGGCAGAGGGTAGG